GCGGGGGTTCTCCTTTAAGTACAAGCACTGGAGATGGAGGCTCAGGTTTGGATATAAATAGCAAAACTTCTTTTGCTGCCTGTGGTGCCCCTTAATTATCCTAAAAAGGGGAAACAAAGAAACAGATAAACGAACAAACCACAGAGTGGATGCAGAAGATTATATTCACAATAACCTCAGGCACCAACAAAATCAGGAGCTCTATAGCCATCTGCATCCAAAAACGTACGTAAATCACGGGCTTATTCAATCCTAATATTTTTCACTTCCCCCCCCCCCTCTACTTTCTCCTATCGGGAGGTAAATGAATGTGAAAAGCACACAAACACCACTGTAAGGTTTTGTGATAAATAAAGATTTTGGATAGCAGTTCCCAAAATGTCCACCAAACCCCATATCCGGTTGAAACAATGTCCTCGTTTTCCCCTAAACGAGCCCTATCCACTCGCTGAGCTCCGAATTACACCGCCGGTGTGTTGTTGCGTTCAGAGACAAATACGAAACAAAAACCTCTGCTTCAAATCCGTCCTGCGTTGCCACCGAGGGGGGGTGATCAATTCGATCCGAGTATAAATGAAATGTGCAAACCCATCGGCTCCTCAGAAGATCGGGGAATCCCAAATTTTGACCGGTCTTCTGGAAGGAAGTGTCACCTTCCGGATTTTATTTTGAACTTTTCAGTTTCCAACTTTCCCCTTTGAAGCATTTTTTTAAAAGCCCCCCCCCCCAATACAATGCCCATCTCCATCACTATTTCAACAGGGATAAAGTGGGCAGCTTCAAAGATGCTCAATTCTGCAATCCCCTCCTTTCATTTTGTGGACGTTCCCATCCTGAAGGAGGTATTTCATAGGTCAACGTTCCTCGTATCTTCAGAGTCTGAAAGGCAAAAATCATCGCCTGCGAATCTTTTCCGACTAGAGCAGACTTTAAAAACAAACACCTGGAGAAAAGGGTGGCCTCTGTTTTTTCTCAGTTGAATTACATTCCTACCTCGCCTATTCCTTTCTTTCTTTTCCAAAAAGCAAGGGTTTATACCCAAGCAATGAATACTTCAAAGAATTAGTTCTGAAAGGATAGTACTGAGTGGTTTTAAATATATTTCAATTTGGACCAACGGGGGGGGGGCGGGGGAGAGGGGAAGCTATAGCCTACGTTGGAAATACAGAACATAGTTATCTATCCCTTACTCGGGAAAAAAAATGTATTTTCGGAGGGAAATCGATCCACAATAGCAAGTGTGTTTGGATTATCTTTCAGGGATGAAAAGGGGAAAAGGACAACAAGACTTACGCGGTTCTAGCCAAATTGGCAATTCTCTGCGTCTCCCCCTCTCCCCTAAACTCCCGCCCTTAAATCTTTTTATTCATTTTAAAGGGTAAAGTCCTGCATTTTTACCCCTTGCTCGTTCTTGGGACAGTACCAGCAAAGCTGGGCAGCCGCGCCGAACTTGTCGGCGGCTCCGCCAGCAATTCACACACCATAATGCCAAGCCTCTCCTAGTTTGGCCCGTGGATAGGAGAGTGTCGCTGGGAGCGAACACGGGGCGAAAGCTATGGAGGCGCCGATGCGAGGCGCAGTGGGACTCATTCAGCGGTCAGAAATCCTCCGAAGTCGCTTTGCCTTGAAGCCCAGCTGCTGGCTTCGAAGGAGAGGAGAAACCTCGTCCAGGTGTATTGCTTCTTGCTCAGGCTGACTTGGCTTTTCGTTTTCTCTGGTCTTCCCTTCTTCTTCCCACGCACAGACGTACATCGCCAACCCAAGGAGCGTCAGAACAATATTTTAAACTGGACGGGTCTCTTGAAACTTCACCGATGCCCCCCCACTACTACTACTACTACTACTACTACTACTACTACTACTACTACTACTACCTCCTCCTCCTCCTCTTCTTCTTCTTCTTCTTCCTCCTCCTCCTCCTCCTCCTCCTCTTCTTCTTCTTCTTCTTCCTCTTCTTCTTCTTCCTCTTCCTCTTCCTCTTCCTCCTCCTCCTCCTCTTCCTCCTCTTCTTCCTCCTCCTCCTCCTCCTCCTCCTCCTCCTCCTCCTCCTCCTCCTCCTCCTCCTCCTCCTCCTCCTCCTCTCCTCTCTCCTCCTCTTCTTCTTCTTCTTCTTCTTCTTCTTCTTCTTCTTCTTCTTCTTCTTCTTCTTCTTCTTCTTCTTCTTCTTCTTCTTCTTCTTCTTCTTCTTCTTCTTCTTCTTCTTCTTCTTCTTCTTCTTCTTCTTCTTCTTCCCCCAAGTCTTGATCTACCTACCAGCCTTGAGACACTTCCAAGATTTTTAAAAAACTTGCAGAGAGGCAGGGGCAAAACGCTGCCTCTCTCCAACTCCTTGAAATTATATTATCTTATTTTTTTTTTTACAAAAAAAGAGAGCCTACTACATCCCCCCCCTATCACCCCCACACAGCCCCTATCTTATTTATCTTCAATTCGCCCCTACGCGTCTATTTTACACTAATAGATTTCGTTCGGTCCTTTCTGGAAGCGCAAGGTTTGAACGTTGCTGTGGGAGGACTAGAAAAAAGAACCAGAGACGGGAGGAAAGAAGGCAGGCGGTGGGGAACCTGGAAGGGATGCAAGCGCTTTCCTTGCAGGAACAGTCGCTTTTCCCTTCGATTCGCCGGTTCCTTTAAAAAAAAAAAAAAAAAACCGGCGAGATTCGGAGTAAAAGACAACTCGCCGAACTTTGAATCATTCATTAGCACCTTATAATTGCTCTGCTAATTAGGTTGGCGGTACTTAATCAGGAGGAGCAATACGGCGTCTTGTCACTGGCACTTCCCATTACCCTGACATTCAACAAGGGACAGGTTCGAACCGCCGCGGCGTCCTAGAGACGGATGAACAGAAGCTGAGACTCTCCCGCGAAGCCAAACGCGGTGCTTGCTCCCGACGTGCGAGGCGTGTCGGCCCCAACTGGGTCGGTAGGAAATAAGAGGCGATGGAAACAGCAGCCGGGCAAAGGCAAACCAAGAGAGGGAAAGGAGGTGCGTGCGTGTGATGTGGATGGATGGATGGATGGATAGATAAAACCACTCTCTGAATGGAGACCCAGAGCCGGTTGTAGCTAAGCCACAGACTAAAGTCGCATGCAGGAAGAAAAACCACCCAACTTGGCCACTGCCGCCTGCCACTTCTCTTAAAGTCTTCTCCAAATAAACAGGCGAGTCGGTTCTAGACCGAGATTATTACTATTCCCCCCCCCCCAGGAGCCGCTTCCCTTTCCACTCCCAGTCCCTTAGGAAAGGAAGCCAGGCGTTTCCCCCAGGTTGGCTCCAAGGGACATTTTGCCCGCCCCGCTCTTATTTCCCTAGTTCTTCAATGAAGTTGGGTCGCTTCCCCTGCCTAGGACTGTGGCGACAAATGTTTCTGATCTTCCAAAGAAGGACACAATGGGAGGAAGCCCGACACAAACCCTGCATTTTAACTTACATCCCGTCTTGAGGAAAGAGATAGGTTACTTTTGTAACGATCTCGTATACACAAGACTTCACAATTCAAAATATCACACTCTTACACGCAAATTCCTTCCTTCCTTCCTTCCTTCCTTCCTTCCTTCCTTCCTTCCTTCCTTCCTTCCTTTCTTTCTTTCTTTCTTTCTTTCTTTCTTTCTTTCTTTCTTTCTTTCTTTCTTTTTCTCCCCCCCTACCTTGATTTCTGCTCTCAAACTGATCTCTATTGTCATGCCAGAGATAACAACCACCACCCATTTATATTCGGATAGATAGAGGAATGGGGAAACGGAAGAGAGGGAAGGAATCCTAAAGGGTCTAAAAAAGAACGGCTTCCCAGTCCCGAAACTGACCCCCCCCCTCAGGTCCTCCCTTCCCTTCCCCTCCCCTCCCCGCGCCTTCCCTCGCCTTTCCTCCTGCTCATTGGCTGCCAACCGCCGAGCGTCAAGTTCGGCCGCCGCGTCCACCAATCCGAGGCCGCGACACGACGGGCGGCCTTAAATAAAACAAACAAATAAATAAGGAATGTTTTTTTTTTTTTTTTTTTAAATGGGGGGAAAACCCCGAGCCTGAAAAGAGGTTTGATCAGGAGCGAGCGGCGAGCAGGCGATGCGGCGATGGCCGTGACGTCACGGGCGGACTCGCAGGGAGCCGAGAGGAGCCGCTCGCCCTAGGAGAGCCGGGCAGCGGCCGAAGCTTCGCCTCCTCCTCCTTCCTCCTTCCTCCTTCCTCCTCTTCCTCCTGGCGACGCTCCGCCACGCCTCAACTTTCCAAGAAAGTTCCATAACTGGCGGGCGCCGGGCGAGAGCAGGGAGAGCGTCCCGCAGCCAGGCGATCGGGCTGGGCGGCGTCCGGGCAGCGGCGCCGGTCCCTCCTTTGGCTGGGCGAGTGAAGCCTCCGCCGGGGAGCCCCGGCAGCCTTCCCCAGCAGCTTCTCGCTTGTCCGGCCGGAGGCTCACCCAGGCGATGCCGGCTGCTCTGCCCGGGCGGCGCGGTGGTCCCGAACAATAAGCGGAGCACGTGCGGCCGGCGGGGAAGGAGAGCGAGCGAGCGAGCGATCGGGGTGGCGCGGCGGATCCGGCGTCTTCCTCTCGAATCGTTTCCCGGCTGCTCTCCTCCTCCTCCTCCTCTTCCTCCTGGCTGGCTTCGGCGGCTTTCTCCGGCTGGCTTTTTTCTCTCTCTCTCTCCCCCCCCCCACTCCCGTGCGTGCGCCTGGTTCCTGTGCGCGTCTCGTCGTCGTTTCGCCTCGTTCTCCCTCCTTTCCCTCCCTCCTTCCCCTCCCTCCCTCTCTCCCTCCTTCCTTCCTTCCTTCCCTCCCTCCCTCCCTCCCTCCCCATTTAAATTTTGATCGAAGAGATTCGCTTCGTCCATAATTGATCCGATTTGGTTGGTGCTTCGCCTTTTAATCGCCGATCGATCGTCTGAGAGCCAGCCGTCACCTCCTCCCCTCTCCCCACCCCCCCACCCCCCCCCCCCGGCCGCCCGGCCGCCCGCCCGCCACCCAAAAGCCCGGTCCGCGCAAGAGAAGGGCGTTCGGGAGGGGAAAAAGGGGATGAAGGCGCTTCTTTGAACGGCCAACCATGGAAGGATCGAGCGCTTCCAGTTTTGGAATAGACACGATTTTGTCTAACCCCAGGTCCGGCAGCCCGGCGATGATGAACGGGGACTTTCGGACGGCCCACGGCGAGGCCAGGGCGGCGGATTTTCTCCACCGGGCCACCCCGTCCCCTTGTTCGGAAATAGACACGGTGGGCACGGCTCCCTCCTCGCCGATCTCGGTCACCGCGGAGCACCCCGAGCAGCATCTGGCGCAAGATGGCCTGTCGCCTCAGCATCACCATCTTCACCACGGCCAACATCCGGAACAGCAGCAGCCAAAAAGTTTGCAGCCGTCGCCCCAGCAACAGCAGCAGCAGCAGCAGCAACAGCAGCAATTGAGTTCCTGTAGCTCTGCCCCCAGGACTTCCACGTCTTCTTTTTTAATTAAGGACATTTTGGGAGATAGCAAGCCGCTGGCCGCCTGCGCCCCTTACAGCACCAGCGTCTCCTCTCCCCATCCCGCCCCCAAACCGGAGAGCAACGCGGCCAGCGAAAGTTTCAGGCCGAAACTGGAGCAGGACGACAGCAGAACCAAACTGGACAAACGCGACGATACCCAGAATGAGCTGAAATGCCACGGTGAGTAGGGGGGGGGGCGGGCGGGCGCGGGTCTTTCGGACGCCCCGGTGCGAAACTGTTGCGAGCGTTCCGTTGTTTACGTTTCGAAACCTTCCCCGTTGTTCCTCTGTGCTTTCGAATAGCCCCCCCCTCCCCCTTTCCTGCTTTCAGCAATTGCTTGTTCTGAAAAGTTCGAGCCAACTTGGCTGCGAATTCGCTAAGCCGCTAAGGAGAGGCTCCAGCTACCTGGAAAGTATTTAAAAATAAAAGAAGTCCCCCCCCCTCCCCCCGTAAGAAAACGACAAACACAATCAGGTTATTTCCAAAAATCTCAGGAACCGTAAATGTTTTCCCTATGTTTTTTTAATAGACAATCCATATAAATATAGTTTGAAGGAGATACATATACATACATACATACATACATACATACATACATACATACATACATATATATATATATATATATATATATATTAGACTGAAGCTACGTATCCCCCCTCCCTTAAACAAAAAAAAAAAGTTGATGCGAGGAGAACAAAAAGAGTCTGCAAGTGTGCATTTCAACAATACCAAAATGCCAGCTGGGATTACTAGAGATTTTAAAATGCAAATGCACATTATAAACTGCGATCTGCATGCATAATTTCTAAACGTAGTTCACACAGATTTAGCAACACTTAATTAGCAAGGCAGACCTCCTAAAGAATTTATAATAAAATATGGTTGTTGTTTTTTAAAGCAGGGTAACAAACCAAACGGGTGGGATCCAATCTGGGGTCCTTTTTCTTTCTTCTGGTTCCTTCTTTCCTTCCTTCCTTCCTTCCTTCCTTCCTTCCTTCCTTCCTTCCTTCCTTCCTTCCTTCCTTCTTTCCTTCCTTCCTTTCCTTGAAATGTTTCCTCCTTTAGACTAAGTTAGCATTGTGCAATATTTTATAGCGTTTGTTTTTGGGGGATACTTTAGAGAGCGCGTGCAATAGTTACGTTCTAAAATTCAAACGTACACGGTGTGCTCGGTTCTGCCACTTCCTGGGGGGGGTGAAATAAAAGAGCCCCCCCTCCCCACTACCAAGGGAATCTCACTTAACTGGAAAGGCTGTGTGTGTGTGTGTGTGTGTGTGTGTGTGTGTGTGTGTGTGTTTTGAAACGTGGTGATGAGAGAGGACACATTTCGCTCATTTTACAACCTTCGGCTATTTTGAGTAACTAATAGGACTGCTATTCAATTTGCCATTTTAGCACTAACATATGAGCGTCTAGAACCAGATGCAGAGTTTCGTCTAGGGTGTTTTTTTTTTTTTTTTTTGTGATAGTTGTTGGTTAGTTGGTGCACCAACCTCCCCAGTGGGTCAATTAGAGAGATTATTGTTCTCCCTGCAGGGAAGATCAAGGAGAGCCCAGAAAAAGAAAGAGGGGGGGGGGAGAGAGAGAGGGAGAGAGGGAGAGAGAAGGGGGAAAGAGGGGGAGAGGATGGCGGTGATGGTGGAGGAGAAAACCTCGTACAAACACAGATGGACTGGCCTATCGATTTCCTAACATTGCAGCTAAAAAAAAAAAAAAAAACCTCCCTCAAATAAGACTCAAAGATTCCAGACCAAATCCGGTAATATTTCCGCTGTCACCTGGGATTGCGAAATCCAGCTCTCTCTCTTTTTTTTTGTACCTGGAGGACAAGCACTCCAGGAAAAGTAGTCGGGCTGTTGTGATGGCTTGATCGTAACCGTTTCCGATGTGCACTTGGAAATCTGAATTTGGCCGAGGGGAGAAAGTGAGGAAAGGCAGCGGAGGAAAAAAATATCCCCTCCGGGGGGGGGGAGGGGAAGGGATATTGTTAGGAAGCTGTGTGACAGGAGAAGTTATCACTCCTGGAGAAACGGTGCTGCTTTTTTAGCCCCGAAATCTTCCCTCTGCGGGTTTGTTCGAGGCTGAATCGCAGCTGAAACGCCGGCTTCGCTAACTCGTTGTTGTGCTTGTGATTCTGGGCCACCCTGTGCAAAGTAGGGAAACAAATCAGCTGGTTCCTAAGCCGCCTTTTCGAACGATCCGTTTGAATCCAGAACGGAAGACTCCCCACCTCCTATTGAGGCTTAATAAGGTTGTGTGTGCGGGTTTAAGTCTTCATTCTCCCCCACCCTCAACACACACACACACACACACGCACACACACACACACACACACACATACACACAGAGTGTTTTTCTCCTCGGCCCTAACCCACAGCTTCTGCCTTGTGTCTCCTCAGGGGCAAAAGAAGAAGGGGATCGCGAGATTTCCAGCAGCAGGGATAGTCCCCCTGTGAGAGCAAAGAAGCCTCGCAAGGCACGGACTGCCTTCTCCGACCATCAGCTCAACCAACTGGAGAGAAGCTTCGAGAGACAGAAGTACCTCAGTGTCCAAGACCGCATGGACTTGGCAGCCGCCCTCAATCTGACTGACACCCAGGTCAAAACCTGGTACCAAAACCGGAGGTAGGGCAGGCTGGTAGGGACGAAAATTTTGGGCTGGGGGTTTTGGTGGGGGGAAAGGGCAACACTCAAAAGGCTCAGAAGAAGGGTCCTGCCCGCCTTGGCCCAGAAACAAGTCTCATTATATCCCGTGGAATTGCCTCCCAGGTCGTTGTGGTCGTGGTTTTAACCTTGCCATCCTCCTGCCTCGCCCACCGCCAAAGGGGAGGTTCAAAGAGGCCTAACGCCCGGGTTAAAATAAAATTAAAATAAATAAATAAATAAAAAGGATAGCGCGATCTCCAATCAGAACTCCGAGGGACTTATTTCGGGGCAGCCCCTGCAATTTCCTTTGGAAAGGCAAAGGAAATTTGCCTCCTGAGTTACTCACCCGTGGCCTTTCTAAGGATAGGAGAGATGGCCACGTTTGGTCGTCTCACTTGGCACCTCCGTTTCTCCCCCCCCCCAATGTCCACTACACCGAGAATGTTATTTTCCTGCGGGCCAAAATTTTAGTGGCTGTAATCCAGGGAAAAAAACCTTAGCAGGTGCATTCTGCGAGCAGGCTGGGTTAGTAGCCGTGGTTTGGTTTGGTTTGTTTGTTTGTTTGTTTGTTTGCTTTCATAGCTAGGCTTGACACGCGAACCTCAGCCGAAACTCTTTGCGTTAGCTAGCGTTCGTGGAGTGGGGCGAGTTCAGGATACGAGTTAACGTTCCAGGTTAAGGCGGTTGTGCGTAGGCAGGCGCCGTTAGGTTGCTCTTCCACTTGCCTGTCGCGTGTAGGTGGGGGCAATCTGAATAGCCACGGGAGGAAGAAAAAAAAAAAAGAGGTGAACAGCGTACAAGTCGAATTGGTCTCCCCATCCCTGTGAGCAAAGCATAAGCTCGAGAGTGGGAGCCAGGGCACGCGTTAAACCGGGAGGGCGCCTCTGGGGAAAAGCTTATTAAGTTTCAGACTCGGTGGGCTTCACTGCTGGAGGCCTCCACCTTCCTCGGTCTGATTTGGCATTTTGGGACGCCTGGATCTGCAATTCAGTCCTGGGTTTCGGTCTCTCCTTTCTCCAGTGTGCGGGTCGAATCCGGATCTCTTGTGATTGGAAAACGAAGACTTGGCGAAAGGAAGTCTAGTCTCCAATGTCTGGGGGTTTATTGTCTTCTTATTTGAAAGAGAGGCCGAAACGGCTCAGGAGGAGAACGAGGAAGGAAAGCCCCCCCCACCCCCCACCCCCCGTTAAGAGCAAAATGCGGTGTTTTTTTTTCCCTTCTCATTCTTGGCAGAGGAAACGCGGGCCTGGAAAACCTCTGCCCAGTTGTCATCTTCGCTATAATTTTCTGTCTCATTTCATACGGTTGCAGCCACCCTAATTCTGTCGGAAAACATTAGCGTCATTTACAGCCCGGCTAAAACAGGCAGCTTGTTAATTTGGCTGCGTTTCGTACGGCCGCGGTTTACTTCGGTGTGTCGTGCGCCTGCTGAAAACCCATCGCTGTTCACAGCCAGCGATGGGAGCTTGTTTCCCAAGAGAGACTAATGTGTAAGTTCTGCGTTAGGAAGGAAGGGAACGGACTTGACGCAAGCTTCCTCTTCTCCTCCTCCTCCTCTTCCTCCTCCTCCTCCTCCTCCTCTGTGTGTTTTGCAATGTACCCACATGAGGGAGGGAAAAGAGATAGTCCGTATCCGTTGCGTTTAGCCTCGTCTTCTCGCATCTGAAGGCCTGCGTCTTCCGACAAAAGGAAAATTAGCCATCTTCCATTCCCATCCCCCCACGCCTCAAAGCAACAGGATTGTACAATCCTAAAATGTTCAGGATTGCGGCTTTCCAGCGACCAAAATCTCCCAGCGATTTCGCTTTTCCTGCAGGCCCGCGCGTTATCTCTAGGAAGGGGAGTATAACGAAACTCTCCCAAGGCTGTCTTTTTTCTCTCTCTCTCCCTCTCCCAGCGTCTGCTTAAGTGTTGGGTAGCGGAAGCTATTTTCAAATGGCCTGGTGGAAAGCCACTAAAAAGCGGGAATATGCTCTGGAGTTTTCCAAAAAGAGGGGCTGGTTTCCTTCACCCTCCCTATCCAAGCAGCTGTTTATCTTGTGCCTTAGTAAATTCATCTTTTTTTTTTTTTGCAGAAAATGTTATAATTGCTGGGGGTGGTAACGCCTTTCCTTCTGTCATTAATATTAGAGAGCAACGTGAATAGGAAAACGGGGCTTGACGAGGCCATAGGTAACAATGTAATTGCGTTTCTGAAAGGAAAATGAACAGAGTTTATCAGCTCTCGTTGTCACTTACAGGCCGGCGAGACTTAAGAGTGGCTCTCCGTGTGTGTGTGTGTGTGTGTGTGTGTGTGTGTGTGTGTGTGTGTGTGTGTGTCTTTGGCTTGCAAATGCTTCCCAGGATTTTTCAAGTGACAGCTCCTTCTGATTCCTCTTGCGCCCGCCGATCTTTCCCCCAGCCAGAGCAGTTTTATTTATTTATTTATGAGACTTATATACCGCTTTATGTACACCAGTAAGCAATGTAAATATATATATATATTTATATTGCCCCCAACAATCATTTACATTGCCCCCAACAATCTGGGTCCTCGTTTTACCTACCCCGGAAGGATGGAAGGCTGAGTCAACCTTGAGCCGGTGAGATTTGAACCGCTGACCTGCTGAACACAGTCAGCTAAAGTGGCCTGCAGTGCTATGAAAGCAAAAAAAACCAAACAAAAAACTGCTCTACCAGCCGTGCAGTAATGGTGCTGCAGCTGCGCTTCCTTCAAGGAAAGGCCCGGTGGACGCAAGAGACTCAGGCGAGCCCAACTGTCTTCTGTCCGAGTCGGTTCCCGCGTGGAGGGCCTTGTGTCGGGAGGAAGGGTGTGTGTGTGTGTGTGTGTGTGTGTGTGTGTGTGTGTGTGTGTGTGTGTGTGTGTGTGTGTGTGTGTGTGGTAGTCAGTCCGGTTCTCGCTTCCTTCTCCCTAGCCTCCCCCCCCCTTCGGGCCCAGCCGACGGTGTCTCCGTTCCCTCTCTTGCAGAACCAAGTGGAAGCGGCAGACGGCGGTGGGGCTGGAGTTGCTGGCCGAAGCTGGGAACTACTCGGCTCTGCAGCGGATGTTCCCGTCGCCTTATTTCTACCACCCGAGCCTGCTGGGGAGCATGGACAGCACCACGGCGGCCGCGGCGGCCGCGGCCATGTACAGTAGCATGTACCGGACTCCGCCGGCGCCTCACCCTCAACTCCAGCGGCCTCTGGTGCCCCGGGTGCTGATCCACGGCCTCGGGCCGGGGGGGCAGCCGGCCCTCAACCCCTTGTCCAACCCCCTCCCGGGGACCCCTCACCCGCGGTGAAGGACATCACCGGGCGACTCGCTCACCCAGGCGCCCCCTCCTCCACCCCCGCCGACAGATCCCCCCCTCGCTCCCCCCAGCAGAAAGGAGCCGAGGCGAGCGAGGGGGCGGGAAAATCAAGCGGTTCTTCTAACGGAGCCGGAGGAGCGACCGGCTCGGAGCGAAGAGACTCTGAAACCCGTAAGTGACACGTAGCCACCGAGTCCCGCAGCGGCCCCGGAGGAGGGGAGGCGGGGGGGGGGTGGCCGGGAAAAGCCGGAGGGCCAGGAGGGACTCTTGAGGGACGCCGAGAGAGAAAGGGCGCCTCCCCCACCACCGCGGCCCAGGAGGCAGAAGGCCGAGGGAGAGCGGAGAAGTTTGCGCCGAATTCTCACGGACACCCCCCCTTTTTTTTTCCTGACTCCGAAACTGGCATTTTTCCCGGATCTCTTTCGTCGTTGCTATATAATATGCTACCTGCACATTTCGAACAGGCTGGTGTGTGAGAAGTTATATTATTTATTATATGTGGTCCAAACAGAAAGGAAAGAAAGAAAGAAAGAAAGAAAGAAAGAAAGAAAGAAAGAAAGAAAGAAAGAAAGAAAGAAAGAAAGAAAGAAGAAAGAAAAAGACTTATATTCATTCGTTTTTAAGAAAAATCTAAGAAACAAACGAACTCCACAAAAAAATATTCTTCCCCCCTACGGTTTTTTTTTTTTTTTTTGGTTTGCTTTTGTTTTGTTTGGGTTCAGTAAAATAAATGCTTAGATGACAACGACAGTTAACTAAATATATATATATATATATCAAGAGCGAGCGAATGAAAGAAAGAGAGAGAAAGAGAGAGAGAGAGAGAGAGAGAGAGAGAGATTTTGACGAGTGAAAATGGCAAAAAAAAAACCCACCCCCGACGGGAAAAAGAAAAAAAAAAGAAAAATAAACTTTTATCTTTTTTTAAACAAACCTGCCGGCCTAAACGAGCTATTTTCCCCCTTGATTCGCGCGCCCTTATTGTTCATTTCCGTAAAATGGGCCGAGTGTGTGTGTGTGTGTGTGTGTAGTTGCGTCCACATGTTTTGCTCCTTTCTAGGCGACGGGTTAGGAGACTTTTAATCCCCTCTCCCTTCTCTCCACACACACACACACACACACACACACACACACGGGCCACAGTCTGGTTGGTTGCTAAAGAGTTTGCTCGGAGGGGTAAAGAATGGATTGTAAAGAAGGGGAAGGAAAAAAAAAAAGGCAGAGAAGAAACGCCGGACTCGGAGGTTGTTTTTCAGACCTCGTCAGTGAAAGCGGGGGAGTGTGTGTGTGCGTGTGTGTGTGTGTGTACGCATTGGCGATGGGTGCTTCCCCCCCTCCCTCTCCTGGGCCCTCTTCTCGGCCTTGCCTCCTTGCCGTCGCGGCTAGGGGTTCCCTTCGTCCTCCTTTGCTGAATATGAAAGAGGCCGAGGAGAGAGCTTAAAGGCGGACGGGGGTTCTGGAAAGCCAAAAAGGTGCAACCCAGCCTGGCAGCTGTTCCGGGGCGCTGAGAGAAAGCGCGGAGAGGACAGCCTGGGAGCGAGAGGCGCTCGGGGGGGGGGGGGGTGGCAATTAGGGAGAAAAACCCGGAGCCGCGGGAGAGAAGAAAATCCGCCGCGACCCACAGCCGCGGGGCCGTGTGTGTGTGTGTGTGTGTGTGTGTGTGTGTGTGTGTGCGTGCTTTGATCTCTTTTGGACTCCCACCCAGGGGAACCGTCCCTTCCCCGCTGGAGGACGCGGCTTGCCGTCGGTGAGCTGTTTTTAAAGCCCCCCCCTCTCTTTTTTTTTAAGAGCGAGAGGGGGCTCTGGAGGTAGAGGCCGTTTTTAATCCTTTGCTGGGATGGGGGGGCGGAGAAAGGGGGCCTCTTTGTAGGCGTCTGGCTCTAGGTGCAAAAGGAGAGAGAGAGAGAGAAAAAAAGGAGAAAAGCCAGAACTCAATGCAAAAGCGAGGCTGAAGCTGGGACTGGCGGTGCTTGGGTGAGGACGGGCGACAGAGGGAAAGGGAGAGGTAAGCGGGGCACTTCTGCCTCTCCCGGGCCAGGCCCAGGCCGGGGCTGCCAAGCCCTGGGCACCAACAGCCCTCCAAAACCAAAGGCAAAGCGGCCCGGCCTTTCTTTCTTTTCCTTTTTTTAGGTTCGACAGATTACACTGCCATTTACCTATAAAACATTCATAACTCCGGTCCAGTATTATCACCTCCTCTGTGGTTTGTGGGTGGCTTTCACCACCACCCCCCGGCCTTTTTATTTTATTTTTATATTTTTTGCTAGAGTGGGTTTTTGTTCTCTAAAGGAGGAAGAAGGAGGCGAGGGGGGGAGGGCGAGAAGAGAGAAGGGAGGGGAAGGCAGGAGGAAAAAGCAGGGACAGCCTGCGGGTGCGCATTATTTAGGCGTTGCTAATTAAGGAAGGAGCTGCTGCTGCTGCTTCGCGCGGCTCTCTCGCTCCTTTTCTTCTCCTCTCCTCCCCCTAGTCCGCTAATAAACGCGCGTTAAAAAAAAAAAAACCATCTTGACCTTGGCCGCGTTTTCACAAAAGGGTCCGGAAACGCCCACCTCATTTTCAGCTCTTGTCGCCCAGGACCCTGACAGTGACTCAGCGACAGAGTTGTACCCCGGAGGTAGCCTCCCTCCCGGCGACCCATCCTCTCCCCTCGCCCTTCTCTTCTTTTGCTGCGTTAATGGGGACTTCAGAAATAAAGAACAACGCTGGCTCCGGTCCCCACAGATCCAGCTGAGGTTGCCCCGGGCCTGGAGGAGTCTCCCGAAGAGTGGAGGCTTCCGCTGAGACGCACCCGCCCGGCGGTCGGCGAAATGGACAAGATTGGGGAAACTGACTAGCACTTAATCCAGCTTGGGCTTTGAAATCGCAACGCTTACACGTGGCTTGGTCTGGTTTGCTCCCGGGCAACCGAGCATAAGGAGGGTGACCTTTAGAGCTCCGCCGATTGCTTTAGGAAAGCTTCGAGGCGTTGCTTTCCTTGGGATGTTTGGGCTTTAAAATATTCAGGGGTTTCCCCAGCCCCCCCCAGCGACATAAAACACAACAAAAATGGTTTCCTTTGTAAGTAAAGTACGTGAACATTCAAAAGGGGAAAAGTAAGGTGCTCTAGTGCAGTGTTTCTCAACCTTGACAATTTTAAGGCATGTGGACTTCAACTCCCAGAATTCCACAGCCAGCATTGCTGGCTGTGGAATTCTGGGAGTTGAAGTCCACATGCCTTAAAATTGTCAAGGTTGAGAAACACTGCTCTAGATGCTCCGAATGCAGCTTATTGGAGAGTTTGCATGTGAGGTGCCCCAAGGATGTGTATGTATACACACAGGGCGTTTAAGCCAGTTGAATTTTGAACTAAATTGAATGGCGGGAGAATTAAAGGCCGGTGTTGAATCTGTATCTTAGTTATTATTCATTTTCATAATCAGAAGGAAGGAAAGAAGAGCTTAAATAACTTTCACAACAAAAACAAAGGCGAGCGTGGAAACACCATTACAGTGGTTTGAATACATTCTGAAATATGTTTAAAATATGTTTTGAAATAGGCTTTAAAACATTTTCTCTCACAAAATTTTTTCCTCTAACATCAAAAAAAAAAATAAAATTCTTTATTATTTGTTTTCTTAAGTGGATAAATGTGGGTAGAGGAAGAGACATCTTATAATAATTAGACCCAGTGCTATGTATCTGTGCTGTGAAGTGAGTCATTTACTTCAATGGGTCTACCCGGGTGTGCTTTTTTCCCCAGCAGAATGATCGTTTCCTGAGTGGGGCAAGAGAAGAAGTGAAAGGAAGAGCGGATCGTATCAAATAGTTTTCCTAAATGTTTGTGACCCCACCTTAAAAGAATGAGGTTGTTCCCGATGGTGCAGGCGTTTTTTTTCCTGGAAAACCAACACTGTTTCCTTCCTCCCTTTAGTTTTTCCACGCCTGCGGTGCAATGTGAACTCTTCACTTTGGTGATAAACAATTTGGATTGCTCCTCACTTAAATTATGAACGAGCTAAATAAACCCACTTCATTAGACGCCTTTGCTGGCTTCTAAAGCTAATTAAAAGAGGCTTTCCTTGAAGAAAGGGCTTGATTCGATGTTTAAAAAGCTACAGATGCACGCTCATTTAAATGCACTCAAGCAAGCAAGCAAGCAAGCAAAAAAAAAAATCCTTCAAGTTGTTCTTTCTTTTTCTCTCCTCTCCTCTCCCCTCCCCCTCCAATCTCTCTCTCCCTCTCCCCCCCCCTCTCTCTCAACGGAATGGTCACCCAAAGATAGAGTTAAATAATAGAAATGGCTTTGCCTTAAAAAGCATCTCCAAACCTACCTTTGAGAAGCAAACTGTTTTTAGGTTTTACTCTCTCAAGAGCAACCTTTAAGTCAACCATCCTCTTTTCTCTAGCCTTTGTCTATTTCTATTTCCAACAGGATTACAAGAGGACTGGCTCTTTCACCACCCATCTCTCCAGGATTCTGCTCATTACAACTTCCTTCAACTCCCCATCTCCCAGCTAAACATTTTTCCCTCTTTCACAGAGGCTGATATTTTACTCCCAGCTTCCCTTTATCCTGGAGACTGGTGATCTTTCAGGGTTTCCTTCAATGGAGAAAAATCAAGGTAACTTGTTTTTCTGGGCTCGACCATTCATACTTTCCGTTACTCTTCTGTTACTCTCGCTCTGTTATTACTCTTGCTGCCATCTAGAAACCTGGAAAGGCTACGGTTGACTAGTAAAATCTGGATGAAGAGAAGCTGCAGGGCCCTCTGGGCAAGCTATTCATCCACCGGTATGCTTGGACTTAGCTTTTTCTTAAATCCTAAGTCCTCCTTCCTTCCCTGGTGCTGTTGCTTTTGTTGCATGAGCAGTGTAGATTCAGAAGACGAGGCCCACATACTGTGGTATTAAAAACTCTTAACAACCCTCAAGGTTCACCAGGAAGCAGGCATTAAATGACTAGTTTCATCCTATCTGGGACATTGGGACATGTTCTTGGAGGAGAGGGTATTGGGAGCAATGTAAATAAGGGGAGGGGGTGAAGAAACTTTGGGAGTTTAAGGGAAGGTGAACCATATCTTCAGATATAATCTGGAAGGGGGAGGATTCCATTTTCCCAGGGATCTGCAGAAGAAAAAGGGAACAACCCTCTATATTAGGATATGGCACCATGATTTCCAGAGGATTTTTGTTTTTACATTCAGATATGAAGCCGCTCAATAGCTATCAGAGTACTCCAAGGATGAAGTACAAGTCCTACCTTCTGTTGCTGTGCA